ACACAACAACAGCAATGACAAGAGCTGACCTCGCAGAGGGCCTTCAGGAGGGGGGGGGGGGCCTTGAGGAGGGGGGGAGGGGGGAGGCCCTCCCCCCCCTGTGGCCCTAAAAGTCCTTGATATATCAGGCAAAAGGGCCTCGGGCCTCGGAGGGACAATTTCTCCCCAAGAAAGAATTTGTAAACAACAACTCCCGCAAGCTCCAAGGAGCTAGCTTTCGTGACCTTTCATTCCATCTACATCCCTGATCGGCCCTGATCGCTATCCTCGCATTTAGGCCGTGCTGCCTCTTCCGGTCTTTGGAAATGACGTCCTGCAGCAAAATTGCTCCTGCGAGTCCCGTCACCTTCGCGACACTGCGGCTGTCCTGTGCTGGCCGGGCTGCGAGGAGAGTCTTCCTGAGGGTGCGGAGCTTTGCAAACTTCGCTCTCTGCTCAGCCTGGGATCCCTACTTGCGCCGAAGCCGGCCTCGGACCATTTTGAGGCTTGAGACATGGAGACATGGTCTGAAGACCGAACTCTCCTGTCAGAATGCGACCCATATTGCATGATCAGCAAAGACTGAACCTCGGTGAGCAGGCAAAACACCACAAGTAGGACAGTTCGCAAGCATTGTCCCCACTGCAAATGATTTGGGTTTGGTACATGGGCAGCGAGGACAGTGCAGACATCTTCTGCAGCGAAACCGGTTCAAGTGCTCGGTGGGGCACAGCGAGGAGCACTGTGCGGAAAAGGTGGAGAGCCTGACCCAGTCTGCAGATTCTTTCGCTGACAAACATCTGCTGCGAACGATGGATAAACACCGTACTTTGCGGCGTCCCATTGTGCTTTTGTGTATCAAGTCTTATGTATCTTCCTCCGACGCTCTCACACAGAAGGGGCACGAAAGCACCATTGGCCTCTGGTCTGGACAATTGGGAGGGCCTGGCTTCAGCTCACTTTGCACTGCTGTGCCTGAAGTGCAGAAGCGAAGATCCACGGCATCCAAGAGGCAGTAGGTCGGCCGCAGCTCCCAGCTGCCGCAGGGTGCGCCTTGGGACTTAGGGCCCTTTAGGGGTCTCCGCATGGTCGCCAGCCACAATACACGACGCCTCTGCATTTCGTCGACAGCCGGGCCATAACCTCCAAAATCTCGCATCAAATCACGCAGAAGCAGGAGTCTCGAAAGAAGGCTATGCAGGTCAGGAGCCATCCGATCTCAGAAACTAGGCATCACCGTGTGTAGATGTGTAGATCAGTTGGCTAAATGCAGAGTTGTGCCAAACAAATCCAGCATGATGTCGCAATACTAACACATCAGCAAGCCCCTACATCCTACATGGTCTGCCGACTTGCCCCCCAAAACAAAAAACAAACACACACACACACACACTCCTCTGGGACACCTGCACATGTAGGTCGAGACTGCGCTCACGGACCCACATCAGGAGTCTCAAGTCTTCAATACACATGACGGCATTTCATTAACCAGTGCGGCACGATTAGCGACTGTCTTCAGTGGCACAGGCAAAAAGCAAACGGCCATTCCAAGTCCGGTATGGCAGGACATGCCTTTGCATCCACCCACCCCACCGTCGCCTGGCAAAGCGATCCAACATCGCTATCACGAGAAGCCGGTGTTATCTTGATCGACGAGCTGAGCGGGCATGCCTTCTCCGGACAGACAGGTCTGCATTCCATACAATCTCACACTCCTGCCGTCCACGTCCCACCCGCGCCCGAGCTTCTAGATGGATCAACACAGTGTTTTGGCATCATAGAACTAAGCCAGCCGGGTCGAAACATCCAATTACTGTCAAGAAAAGACAACGACGGACTGTTGCCTGCCCTGCCTGGCTGCAAGCGATTGGGGAAAACGGTTTTGTTGCGCCGCAAGCTATTGGGAATTCTGACTTGCATGGTCCTGATGTGCGGCACGCCATTTAGGAATTCCACTTCGCAGGGTCTCGTCTCGTGGCAAGAAATTGTGGAATTCGAGTTTTGCTTGGAGGTGCATTTTCCCGATGCCCCTCAAGCGGCTTCAAATGCTACGTTTCCAAGCATTGGAGTTTGCAGAATCTTGGGATGATTCAAACGCTGTAGTTGGCAGCTTTCCACTTGCAGCCCTGCAGCTCGTCAGCATCGGACGACGCGATCTGTATTCGTCTCCAGCTCCAGATGTTTAAGAACTGCCACCTCATAAGGCGATGGACCCTCATTGGGTCATTAGGTGATGGTGTCCCCATTCCTCGGGGGCCTGTTGTACCCACAATGGCAGCGCGGGCATAGTCGGAATTTCCTGAAAACTTCCCTCGCTATTTCCTTTCGCAATCGACTGTCGTTTCACCGCGAGTATGTGAGCTTCCGATCGGGACCAATGCACACAATGCTCTGACCAATCTGGCAAGGCTTACGTGGCCCGATGGACTTCCACGTGTGACCGTATGACTTACTGAGTCATAACTCATAGCATCAGTGAGGGTCCAGGCAGGACTGCATGCTGATGCTGATAAGACACTGCGATAACTTGGTCGCAGAGAGGCCTTGTACACTCTCCACGTCCATGAACTGGAGAATCACCTAAGCTTGCTCGGAGTTCCTACATGCTCCTATTCACGACTGCTGCAACAACGGGACACTCTCATTTCTCCCGAAAACAGTACTACTTCCACACATGGGCTGCTGGCAGACAACTTCTTTTCAAAAACAAGATCTCGGCTTCGAGATCACTACACAGTCACTGCAACAGCTCAATGCAGATCCGGCGCGCACGGAGTCTGCCCCTCCCCTTTTGGCCCTGCTCTTGGAAGGCTGTTGGGAGCCGGAGAGCGCGCGCGCATGGTGTACCCCACCTTTGGCCCTGTTCTTGGAGGCGGCGCGCGCCCCCCTTGCTGTTGGGAGCCGGCGCATGCAGGGTGTACCCGCCCTTGGCCCTGTTGGGGAGCTGTTGGGAACCGGCGCACGCGCGCGGGCTCGCGATCGCGCACGCGGGGTGTACCCCGCCTCCCTGGCCCTGCTCCTGGAGGGCTGATGATCAGCTTGTCTTGCATATCTTATGCCTTTGTAACCATGCATTTGGATCGAGGCGGAGATATCCTGCTGTGCTTACGAGTGAGATTTTTACGACAAGAGCTGTCACTTTTCTACCGTTCGCCACGTTCGTTACTGGGGTCCGCGGCCTGCATGAACTCGCCCTTGCTGGCCTTGTTGGAGCCACCAGAGTGGTGCCATACCTGCGAGGAGAAGGCTCGAGCCCTAGTCTCTTTGCAGCACAGCCAGTTGAGGGCACCTCTGCGAAAGCCTGACCGTCTGACCATTCCAAGCAGATTCACGTCTCCAACCTAGACAGTGTTCTCACACTGCGGCGCAACCTGCTGGAAGTATTCCGCGTCGCTGAGCAGATGGTGCACTCGACTGGTCAATCAAAACACCATTGGTGCACATGTCAAGCTGCGGCACAAGCCAGTATGCCTCGCCGCTGCATGGTCGTCACGGACGTCGCTGTCTGAACTGGCACCCACCTGGTGACCGATACTTCTGTCTGATCTCCTGATGCTGCAATGCGACACAGCAAAAAGCTGGCAGCTAGGCTGCATACCCCCATGCTCTGGCTAGCGGTGGCAGTACCCGCCGTGCCAGCATCGGTACCAAGAGCATAAAGTCTGTTGAATTGAGTGCTTGCAATATGATGCCTGAAGATTAAAGTGTGTCAGTAGGAGTGCACAGGTGATACGCTGCATTAGTGGACGGTATCTGGAACCAAAGAAGAACCTCGTCAGTATACCCATGCTGCGGCGAAATCTGGGTGTAGCAACATCTACTGCTGTGATTGCTGCCCCATGTCTTTTTCGCATCAACTGTCTTGCCTCACTCCCAGCCGCGGCAGCAGGACATTGAGGTCAAGTGTTTGTAATGAAATTTCTGATTTTTGGGCGTTCCAGGATACAGACTTGACATCGTGGTCAGCCTTCACGATCCAGCCAACATAGCACCACCAAGCTCTGAACTATTCTGAACTGGAAGCAAACGACTTGGATCCAACCGCACGTAAACAGGTTCAATGCCATTTCATCACTGGAGCCCAGAGTACACGAACCTTGAAACCATTACGCATCCCGTATAGCTTAGCGTATCCATAAGCCTTCACCGACACGAGTCAAGGTTCTTGGACCTCAACAGTATTGCTTGCTCGCGTGCAAGCTTCGAAGTTTCATGATTTTGTCTGAAGCGTGGAGATCCACCAGCAACCCACAAAGACCGAACTAGCGGACAAAGATTTTCCTGCAATTGATTGTAAGTCGCGGAAGGACATTGCCTGTGGGTGGTTTGTTGTTTTGTCATCCGGGAACACCCTCCCATCACGTCGACACTCCTAGGCCACGGGGCCATGCAAACTTGGCATGCAGCATAATATGGGTAGCTCACTCTCTAATTTCGGGTCTCACAGGCCCTTCTTGCAAGATTCAGGGATTCAAAGCCGGACACCTTATTTATCCACACATACCAGCAGTTGCAGCAACCATGACAACATTCAAGTCCTGGGTTCTTTTGCTGCAGCTACGAGCCTTTCGTCGACGTTCAGAAGATGGTCTATCTGTTTCGCCCAGCTGACCCTCTGTCGAAAGCTGATGCCCATGCATCCGGGATGGCACCGCACTGGATGGTCTGTTGGCGCGTGTAGACGCAATAAGCTTAGATCCCGATCCAGCTCAGCCCACAGCACATGTCGCCGCCCACCATGTTTTGCAACAATTGACAAGAAAGGCATATCCCATGGCACCACCTCTGCGTATCCTGCCCGAAACGCACGAAGCTTGCCTGCAGCAGGGCCATTGACATTGATGTGGTCGAAATCGCTCGTGACGGAACTGACATACGACATGCTGGGCCAAAACCCAATCTTCAGCACGAACATCTGGGAAGCAGCAGCCGGAAGAAGCAGCCACGTGCTTCCGTTCAGTGTTTCCTGCATTGATCCTTCCCAGCCCACGAACTGCCGGTACAGTCGCTCAAGACGCTCCTGAAACTCATGGAAGGGATTCCACAGTACCTTCATGGCGGCACCTTCCGGCCTGTCGTCCTTGCACCACCAGTAATGCCATTTGGGCTCCCCCATAGCTGAACGAAATGTCAAGAGTCCCGCTTGTACAAACTCATTGACGACCGCATAAACTATCTCATCGCAATAATCATGGTAAATTATCGTTTCCACGCAGCAAGGCAGTCCGCGCAAAATATTGAACGTGTCTCGCATAACCCCTGTGGCTCCGTGATCAGCATCAATGACAGCAGCCGAGAAGTTCTGATGGGCAAGAGGGGCAAAGGAACCGGACAAAAGAGTGTCAACATGAAGCCGCACGATATTTGTTATTTTGCTGCCGTCTCTTTTCAAGAGACGGTTCGAGTCTAAACGAAGGCCACCACTCCAGGAACTGTTCCAATATTTCTCAACGGCAACGACGACAGCAAAATTTACAGCCAATGCTGCAGTGGTTGTTCCCTCCCCGGCACCAATGTCAAGAGCAGCTCTGGAAGAATACTTCTCTGACCTGAAAAACTGCATAACGTCCTTTTTAAACCTTGCAGATGTAAGTCCTCTCGTCAGTATCTCTTCTGCCAGGTCTCGTTCCCACCCATTGGTGACCAAACAATCCCAAAGCAGCATGCAACAAAGGTGCCTTCGCATGCTTGCTGGCTCAACCTCATCTAGGTTTGCAGCTGTGCTACGAGAATGTTACTCTGGCATATTTTGTGGGATGACTTCGGTTTGTCGGTTGCTTCCAATTCGACCCTCAATCTAGCAGCTAGCATACCATGGACACCTTTTTGTGGTCCGAATCCTGCAAGATGTCGGCGTTGACAAGATGGACTTTTCTGACTTGGGAATTCCAGCATAGCTTGCGACTCTGGCGTTTGCGGTATGCATTCTCTTCGCTCGACAAGCAACTCAACACTCTGCCTAAGGAAAGGCTACTATACACTGCCGATGCTTGCAGCGAAGATGAACTGCCGTGCCAAGGACTTGGTTGGGCATCGCTCTGTTTTAGACCTGCGAGTTCAATAAACTCTTCGCGGGTTGGACTCGGTCCAAAGCTGCGGCCACACATTTGCAAAGCCGGATGTTGCAAGCGGCACTACAGGCTGTCTCAGCGGCTTGCAATCTTTGTCTTCCATCATCAACCGAGCGAACCTTTGCCATAAAAGGACCACGTAGCCTCGCCCCCGCTGTTGCTATCAGAACCTGCCGCACAATCGTAGATGCTACCGACATGCCGACGTTGTCGGGGTGCGCGCCGTTTCGTTCTTGACACAAAGGAAGCGCTCATCACGTCGAGCTCTGCGAGGTGGGTGTTTTGTGCATGTTTTGTGCATGTCAGGCCAGACTACGAGGTTGCCTCGCTCCTCGCTTCGTGGAGATCGGAGGTCCCGGAGGCCGAAGTGCCACATCCCAGGAATCGTCCCCGTCCATTCAAGTGCTCAGAAACGCGCTGAGCCGGAGCTGCTCAGAAGCTTGCGCCGCCAGAAGCATCTCCTCCTCCGCCTCCAGCGTCTCCGCTGCCAGGAAAGCTCTGGCACTTCCTGCCATTTTGCCAGGCAAACAAGCAACATTAAGGCATGTCAAGGCCGCTGCGGAACGCCCGTCCACGCTGAGGCTCCTGCCGGACGGACTGACTTGGAAGCGTTGCTTGCCTGCCGTACCTGGAGTCAACCAGGTCAAGCACGTCTCACATGGCGGCGATCACACAAACGACTGTGCTGCGCAGCAGCTCGTCACAGCTTTTGACGCAAAATGCCATGCATATAGCCTCGGTCCCTGCTCTCCAACCCCCAAAGTCCGTTAGGCTTGAATTGATGCGTCACAAGCTCCTCATGCCCGGAACCTGTGTTTCTCCTTCGCTTCTTGCCTGCAACCCAACTTTCGCAGGCCCAGAGACAATAGTACCTCTTCCCGAACCGTGTCAGCTCCCGTCTAGTAGAGAGCAAGCAGTGCCAAGCAACCTGAAACTCCACAGCTATGCTGTCGGTCCTAAGCACAGAATGCACTGGTTGCCGCACGCAGCCAGCTCCCCCATGATCTGCGCAAACTCGCGTTCAACAGCCTCGTTGCCCGGGTCATGTACTCCACAGTCGCAACTTAACTCCGCTTGGGTTGACAATAACCCCAAAACTGCTCAGGGTGCTTCGAAGAGCGTGCATGTATGAGTTCGACTACGTCCACTTCTCCTCTCGCTGACCCTGCTGGTCTTGCCCCGCTGAGGCATAGGCTTCGATCTTCTCCCTGGCCTGCAAAAGGTGTCTTGTCACCTGACAGGAGCACAGAGGAGAAACCTGATGTCGCCACTCCATATTCCGAAGTACTGACAGTTTGCTCCTCGTCGACTTTGTCTTCGACACCAGGCTCGAAGGCCTCCTGGTCCTGGCTTTGAACCCCAACCCTTTTGCACTGCGACTGAAGTTCTCACGCCGGTGTTCACAGCGAAGAAACACCTCCTTTGCAGGCTTTTGCAGCCGGCCTCACGGCTGCCGGAGAGGACTCCCTCTGATCCTGGCGCAGCCACGCCTCAAGAACAAAGGAGGACCACTACACAGCTGGAGCAACTCACAGCTTTGCAATATTTTGTAAAACATGTGATTTGCTTGCCAGCTGAAACTTTAGACAAGCGCAGGTACAGTAAAGGCTTAAGGCAATACGCCGGTGGTGCAAGACAGACACCGACGGGTATGGAGTTGCAGGGAGCAGAGTGCAAGCACTGTTGAAGCTTCCAAGAACACAAACACCGACAACGGGCCATGGGTTTCGTTGCATGGGTCTCTCTGACGTGTCACGACACGAAAGTTAGTCACTCAGAATTAGTCACTCAGAAGCTATGGCCAACTAACACTGTGGTGTGGCAGTTGCGAGAGGAAGGAACCTAGGGAAGCTGGAAGAAGAGAGATGCATCCGCCACTCCCTGAAGTTGACTGGTGCTGGTGGTGGCGGCAGCAGTGGTGGTGGCGGCAGTGGCGTCGTCGTAGCAGTAGTAGCAAGAATAGTAGCAGCAACAACAACAGTAGTGAGTGGCAATCTGCATGATGGAAGCGTGTCGCCGCCTCTCCCGCAACACTCGATGTTGCCCACGGGAGGATGCTTCCCTTTCTCCCGAACAACATCCGGAGTGCGCAGGTGCCGGCAAAAGCCAAGCTGTACCAGAGCCACCAGGCATGCGAACAAAACGCAGATCCTTGGGTAAGGGCACGTTCCCGCCCGCGATCCCGGCCTGCAGGCTCTTCTCGAGGAATGCTCCGCGTGGATGGCCGCCTTCGTTCGAGATGCCTCAACACGCGCCACTTGAGAGCCGCTTCAGAGCTCACTATTTACCAGCTCTGTGTTGCCTCATTGCGCCTGCTCTTGGTTCCTAAAACATCTCGCGATCAAAAGCACATTGGGTCCTCTTGACATGCTTAGGCGTCTCAGTGTGGAATCTTTCGGAATCTCGTTTGGCGTGGAGAGAAACCTGCACGCTTGTGGGTGGGGGTTGCTCCCGTTTCGAATCTGCTGAGAGGCCGAATGGATGCAAACGGCACGCGCTGCACAATCTGATGTGCCCACTGGGTCGGTCTGAAAGACTTCGACACGAACTGAAGTGTCGTGCGAATTCCTACGAGCTGGGACAGCATCTGGGAGTGCGACGAGCTCAAAGCTGCCGAAGGACCCGGAGCCTGAGCTCTGCAGACTCTGCCACTTTGCAGACTTTGGGTGCCTCAGTCCTCGGCTTCTTTTGGTTCTTGCGCTGGGAGAGCCCTTTCAGCGAGGTACTTCTGCACACAAGCCGAGGCCTCCAAGCGACGTGCGCTTTGATTCACACGTGTTCTCTCAGCACGGCCGTGGCCCCTTGAGCCCTATGGCCTCCTGCTTGAATTTCACCACGGCTTCCAGGACTGCTGGAACGGGGTCCCTGAACCAAGGCTTCGTGCCACTCGAACTGACAGTATCGAAACATTGCCTCGGAATTGAGGATGCAAGCAAAGGGGCCTGGATAATCGGGGCCCACTGCGGCAACAGTATCAAGTCTCGACAGAAGGGCAACAGTAGGCCTGAGCTTCTCTTCTGCTGCGGCTCCTTTCACAAAAGCTTGCAGACTGAGGCTCAGGGCCTAAACAAAATTCGTCTCTAGGCCGAGCTCATGGCTTGAACTCTCCGAAATCAAAGTCACCCCCTGAAACAGCTTCACAGTACAGACGTGGACTTAAGAGAAGCGCGTAGTTGCCTCCCAACATCCGCTCGAGCTGGATCTCTTGTTTCGACCCCGGCCGTCGCGGAACCCGGCGCGCCTGAGCCTGGAGTCAAATCAATTGCCGAAACAGATCCGGGAAAGCAGCAAGAGCACGAACTGACGAAATGCAGTCCTGCCTCCCAAGGCTCAGTCGAAGCCAGCATGGCAACCTCTCGATCAAAGTGAGTTCTGTTGCACCATGACTGGGGCAGCAAAGGGTCGTGCAGTGCCGTGAGTGATACCTCAAAGGTGCTGAGCATGGAAGGAACTGAGTTGGCCTGGCACCCGGCACCAAGCTCAGAGACGGGGCATGCTTGCAGGGTTGGGGCTTTCCGCTGTCAGTGTTTCTTGGCAAGCGTCACCTCGGCGGAAGCACCTGCAACACTGGTCCCAGTCGCGACATTCCTCAGCGCAGGAAGACAAGGTAGCTCAGACAAGGCTCACAAAGCGGTCGCTGTGCAATCGGCCTCCTCCCAGGCTGGGCGGGCTGCATTCTATGGCATTCTTGGCCCAGCCTGAACCCGGAAGTGCCTTAAGCCAAAGCGACATTCCGTGCACTGCAAAGTTGTTACTGGCCACGCCGCGCCATGGGGACAGCAATCATCCTTGCTCTCCGATTGGAGTCGGAGCATTTGGTATTCACCATGGAGCGCAAACAGTAACATCCTTCCAGCTTCACTGGGGTGAGAAGGTGATCGCTCTTCGATCGCACAACCAGGCAGCATTTCCCTTGTTTCCAGAAGTCCTATGAAAAGCCCTCTCGCTCACTGAAAGAGTTAGACAAGCCAGTCATGCGTGTGATGAACATGCGTAGTGAAACACAACTTCCCGTCGGTCATGTGGCCGGTGCTTGTAGAGTCTCGATTTCATCCCGAATGGACACAATCTTGGCCTGCATACCTTAGCTGGCATGGATGATGATGATGATGATGCTGATGATAATGCTGCTGCTGCTGATGATGATGATGATGGTGTGCTTGCATGATTGCTACTTGCATCTGAACTGCGAGGAGGGCATCATACTTTATCAGGCGAACATGTCTCAAAAACCCAAAGCATCTGATCAAAATAAAATCAACAGCAAGCCGCAAAACGCCCAAATCCCGAATTCCTGAGCACTGGAATCGGATGCAAGATCGTGACAATTTGCTGGGGTCAGCTCGTGCCTGTGGCCACAACCGCAACCCACATCTCCCAACTCCATTCAAACTTGTGCCGTCCATAAAGAGCCACGTAGTGTCACGAATTATGGATCACAGCTCAGAAAGACCAGCAGGTCTATGCGCAGCATGCCAATCCTTTTCCTGCGTAGCACAACAGGCTGAAGGCCTAAGAAGGTAGAGCCGAAAGGCGCCACAGAGAGACACAGCTAAAGCACCGATGCACATGCGGATCTTCAACACGAATTGACTCACACATCCGGCCCGAGTCTGATGCTGATTTTGATCGTGGTTAGGTTGGACTTCAAGCTTCCGTCGCGGATAGTCCGGATAGTTGATCAGCTAATTGACATTGACTTTGCTGCTTCTTTCTTTCTTTCTGCTAAGCTTAGGGGTCGTCTGCGGACCCTCGGGCCATAGTCCCGCCCAACCACCCAATGTGCTATTAAGTGGTTGGCATTGAGGTCCCTCCCGACTCTCTCTCTCTCTCGCTCTGTCTCTCTTCGCCTCTCTTCTTCGCCAGGGCTTGAGAGGCTGTTTAGGCCCCCCGGCCACTAGGGCGGGCTTTGAGGAGGCGTGAGAACAAGGTTGACGTGTTTTCCCGGGTGAGGAATTTGGAACATTTAAAAATTCATTGTTCCCCGGGCTCACACGATTACAGCACTGCTTTGGGACGCCTTTCGGAAACAGTTGTGTGCTCGTATCAAGGGTTGGTGAGCTTACCTAAAAGCATCAACACACAGCAGGACCAATCCCCCTGGACACGAGCTAACACTTCACGGGGGCCAAACATGCAATTTCCCCGACTGGAGTGCTGAACAAATAGGTGCTCTCGCAGAGCTACAGGATTCGCTCGGCACGCGAAGGGGGCCCCTACTGAGCTTGATGCAGGAAACAAGGACACAGCTTTGATGGCACACCTAAGGGCATCCCTGAGTATTCCAGCACGTGGGGTCCCCCTGAGCATGTCGTGTTGGCCGTCGCTGCCACAATGCAACATCCCGCACCGTCGATGCCTATTTCGTCTGAGGCACTGGCTGAAAAACAATGCAACTCAAAGAGCAAGATAGGATGTACTAGGAAATAGACAAGACATGACCTTTACGGGGGCCTCAATACGTTTAAAATTTCCCCGTCTGGAGTGTGGATTTCATATATAGTTTTGCATAGGACGGATGTGTTTGAAGGGTCCCCCGGCATGTGGGTCTGTCAAACAGCGGTCAGAAACCAACTAGAAGAACAAGACAACTTTCGCCCCCATGCCGAGGTTTCTTTTCACACTACAACGAGGCTTAGTTGGCTGACTGAGGGGTTCCCTACCTTTTTGATGCAGAAACAAGGGCACAGCGATGCTACCATGCCTAAGGGCATCCCTATGTGACCAAGTTTAATGTAGGGTTCCCCTCATGTAGTCGCATAGCAGTACAGGAAAGTGTTCCTCTGTGTTGGCCTTGCTTGGACGCGGAGGCATCGGTCCCCCAGTACGATAAAGATGTGACGAACACAGGCTAGGGTGCACACCAGTGCAAACATGAGAAAACTGTCCGAGCAGGCCGAAGATCTAGAAATACAGGCTCGTTGTGGCATACCGTGGTTCCCCTCACGAACTTCGTGCAGAAACAAGTACACACACACTCTCTCTCTCTCTCTCTCTCTCTCTACTGGTCAGAGGAGCAGAGCGGTCCAGCTCTACCCCCCGCGCGCGAGCGCGCCCCAGCGGTTCATGGGGTCTTCTTTGTCCCCCTACGGGTTTACCGCAGGAGGCTCGGCTTTACAGAACATGCCCCTTGCATCGAAAGTTTCAGCCTTGGTGCCCTTGGGGTGCAGCAGAAACAACCCGAAAGAAAGTAAGGCCGCGACCTAAAAGATCAAATGCAGAGCTGCATCCCCCGAGTTCGGGCAGGCTCGGTTTGAAAAGGGGGCGAAGGAAAAGCATGCTGAATCTCCTCTGGCAACTTCAAGGTTTGTGTG